ATTCTTAGTCTTCTTCTGATTTCCTGACTGCAGTCCCCATTTCTACCATTTTTTTTTATCTCAGGTATGGGAATTTTTTTACTATTTCTATTTCTTCATTGTCTAGGTTGAACTTATGAAGGTCCTCAGTGGTCATTATTTTTGTTTTCTTTATGTTCAGCAGTAAGCCTGCCTTTGGACTTTCTTCTTTGATCTTCCTTAGTAGGTGTTTCAAGTCTGTGAGGTTCTCTGCTAGTACTCTGGTATCATTTGCATATCTTAGATCAGGGGTCCCCAGACTTTTCATCCGGGGGCCGGTTCGCTGGCCCCCAGATCTTCCGGGGGGGCGGTGGTGCGCACGCATACGCGCGCATGCATGAGCACAACTTGGGCACCATTTTGTTTGCCAAAATGGCGCCTGGAGTCATGCGCATGTGCCCACAATACTGTGCGCATGCACACAACTTCGGATGCCATTTTGGAATACAAAATGGTGTCCAGCAACACGTGTGAGTGGTGGCGGCGGCAGGAGGCCTCGCGGGCTGGTAAGAAGGCCTCGATAGGCTGGGTCCGACCCGCTGGCTGTAGTTTGGGGAACCCTGTCTTAGATTGTTGATATTCCTTCCTCCTATTTTCACTCCTTCTTCTGTGTCCAAGCCTGCTTTTCTTATATGTTCTGCATACAAGTTGAACAGATAGGGTGAAAGGATGCAGCCTTGTCTGACCCCTTTGCCAACTGGGAACCATTCTGTTTCTCCATGTTCTGTTCTGACAGTAGCCTCTTGTCCTGAGTACAGATTCCTCATCAGGGCTATCAGATGTGTTGACACTCCCATATCTTTAAGGGTGTTCCATAGCCTTTCATGATTTATGCAGTCAAAGGCTTTGCTATAGTCTATAAAGCACATGCTGATTTTCTTTTGGAATTCTCTCATGAGCTCCATTAACCATCGTATGTTTGCAGTGTGGTCCCTTGTGCCTCTTCCTTTCCTGACCCCTGCTTGGACCTCTGGGATCTTTCTTGGACCTCTGGTTGGAGTCAATGTTGCAGAATTTTGAGCATGATTTTGCTTGTGTGGGAGATCAGTGCTATGGTCCTATAGTTGCTGCAGTCTCTTGTGTCTCCCTTTTTGTGCAAGAGGATGTATATTGATCACTTCCAATCTGCTGGCCATTGTTTTGTTTTCCATATCTGTTGAAATATGTTGGTTAGCACTAGAGTTGAGTCTGTCAGTGTGGATTGCAGCAGTTCAATTGGAATATCGTCTGTTCCTGACGATTCATTTTTTGCTATTTCTCTTATTGAAGTTTCCACCTCACTTTTTAAGATTTGGGGTTCATCTTCATATGGCTCTTCGTTCCATGTGTCCTTCATTTTGTCATCTCTTTTGTATAATTCTTCTGTGTATTGCATCCAATGTCTTTTTATTTCTTCCTGGTCTTGAATTATGTTATTTTTATTGTCATAAATCATCCAG